TTTTGGAGACAGGGTTTCACTGGAGCCTGTACTGGATCTAGCTCTTATAGACCATGCTGGTCTTGAACTCACAGAGATCCACCTACTTCTGCTTTCCAAGTGCTAGGACTAAAGGTGTTTGTGCCACCACCACCCAGTTTCAGACTCACGTATTTGAATGCTTGTTTGGTCACCAGGGAGTAGAACTATGAAAAGGATTAGGAGATATGGCCTTGTTGGAGGAAGTGTGTCAGTCGAGGTGGGATTTGAGATTTCAAAGGCCCAGGCTAGGCCCAACCCTCTCTCCCATGTGGCAGACATATCAGGATGTAGCTCTCAGCACCAGTGCTGCCATGCTTCCTCCATGACAATCGACTAAACCTCTTAGACTGTCATTAAGTCCCCGGCTGAAAGCTTTGTTTGTAAGAGTTGCCCATAGCACAAAGGTAAAGGTAACCTTTTATCAGCTTCCACCCAGCCACTTCACTCAAAACAGAGCCTCTCCATCTTCTGTGACTGGCAATGGTGACGGGAAACATTGAGTACAAATGGATGTTTGCTTGGAACTTGTTAGGAATAAAGCATCGGGTTAGGACCGAAGGTGGCGGGTCCCCAGTCCGGAGGCTGGTGATGGACAGTGGCAGATGGGAAACAGAGACCTGTAGATATGACTCATATTCAAAGTTTTATTGAGGGGGAGGTAAGAAAATAAGATACAGAGATAAAGACAGGATGAAAAAGGGGGGGGGGAGGGATGGACAGGAGAGGTCCTGTCTGCCCTCCAGAGGAACAGTGGGAAAAAGAGAACGGAAGTGGATGGACCATTTCATTTAAAGAGTCACATACATACATACATACATACATACATACACACACACACACACACCACACACACACACACACACACACACACACACTGCCATGCCCAGGTGCATGAGAGGCGGGGCCAGGTTTGCCTTGAATGTCCTGGTGGCTTTTCTGGTGTACATGATACTGGGGGCAGGGAATGTAGACCAGTGGTAGAATGCACACTTAGGATGTGTGAAGCCCTAGGTTCAATTCCAAACACCCTTGACTGTAGTTGGTTGCCATGTACCTGTAGCCCTGGAGCTTGAGGCAAGAGTTTAACATGAGCCCAGAAGTTTAGGGCTACCTGGGCAGTACGAGACCTTGTGAACAAAACTACCTTGGTTTTTTTTTTTTGCTGTCCCTGCTCAGTCGACTCCCTGGCATCCATTTGCAACACAAGCATGTGCAACTTGAACTCACACGTGGGAGTGTTTCATTTCAACTTATTAAGCTTGCAAGCCAAGGCTTGCTCGGCTTTCCGACGGATCTGCGTAGGTGGCTAACAGAATGTGATCTCAGAGCTGGCTGTTTGACGCTGTTAAGGTTCCACCTGCCAACGCTGTCTGAGAGTACTGAAGCTTTCCCTTTGAGCAGGATAGAAAGCCTGGTGAGTAATGCCTCCCTTCCCTCCACAGCTACACTGGAACAGGAAAAGACCTCTTGTAGCCACTGAGGCCTTTCTGCACGTGAACGGCTATGTCCAGCAGGGATGAATTGGTTCCACCCTCCTAGGTTCCATAGGCCAGAAACAAGTGGGGACACTAAGGGCTGGCAATTGTCAAAGCTTTGAGTTCAAGCCTCAGCCTTTCAGTTCCATGACCACGACACTGCTGCCCATGCAGGTCACAGCCCAACTTCCTTTCTAACAGGATCTCAATGTGTGGCCCTGGCTAGTGTGAAACTAGCTATGTAGACCAGGCTGGCCTCTAAATCAGAGATCCACCTGCGTCTGCATTTGAAGCGTGCAATTCTGAGCACTGCAATTGAAGGCGTGTGTTACCATGCCTGGTAAGACAGTTTACTGTCTGTTGCTTAGAAACAGCCCCTTTCCCTTATCCTACACTCCAGTGTCTCTCAGTGTTCTTAGTTCCTCTTACTCCACCCCAGTGTCCCCCCCCAGTGTACCCCAGTGTCGTCTCAGTCTCTCTCTAACTCTACTCCAGTGTCCCCCCCATTGTAGCCCAGTGTCCCCCCCATTGTAGCCCAGTGTCGTCTCAGTCTCTCTAACTCTACTCCAGTGTCCCCCCCATTGTAGCCCGGTGTCGTCTCAGTCTCTCTCTAACCCTACCCCAATGTCCCAGTGTTCTCCTACTTCAGTGGCTTCCTGTTTACATGAGATTACTTTTCTCAAACACCCAGCAAATCAAGGCAGAGCTGGGTTTCTCCTGCCAATGACCAATGCATCACATAAATGCTTTCTTTACTCCAGTGCTGGTCTTTTGTGGCTGTTCTTCAAACGGATTTGATGCTATGCCCTTTGGAAAGGGTGGAATTTATCAATACTAACTCTAGGAAATATACCAAGGCAACAGGCAAACCAGTTCAGAGCGGCAACACTTTAAAAAGGCTTTGCTTGTAGGGTCCTGTCTTGTGTGGGCTCAGGACACGTGTGAAACTTACTAAATGTCCAGTGAACCATCTATCCCCTTCATCTACACCTAGTCCTCTGGAGGGTTTTCTTGCTCGATGGCAGGATTTGAGGTAGCTTCTAACTGTAAAGCCCAGGCAGGGCGAAATGGAACCCCATGTATTTCTTGGAACAGCCTTAAGCTAATCAACTTTGTTAGCAGCACACTCTCCCTTTGAGCTTGGAGACTCATGCACATACACACGATGAATAGTTTCAATGTACAGACTAGTGAGGGAAACACCATGTTTTGCTCTATGTCCCTGTCTCCCCCACAGGGTAGTACTGTAAGGTAGGTATGTATGTTTCCTCTGGCAGTTTCTTGTGTTTACAAACATCTATGCTCACATAGAAATAGCTAGTTTAGTTTTATTACTGTAACCAACATCTTACAAAGTGTTTTAAAGTTTATCCTATTTACATTATGCAGAATTTCAATCATCCACAATTAACATGCTAAATTTTTCTGTTTATTTATTTTATGTGTATGAGTATTTTGCCTTTTTGCTTGCACATGTATGTGTACCACGTGTCTGGTGGTCAGAAGGCACTACATCAGATTCTTTGGAATTGGGGTTATGGATAGCTATGAATCACTATAGGTGCTGGGAGCCAAAATTGGGTTCTTAACGTCTGTGCCATTCTCTCCAGCCCTTAACAATGTTCTGAAACAGGACTATTTCACTTACGCGCAGGAAATTCTGTCAGTTCACAAAAATATACTACCTTCTTTTAAACTGCTGTAGACATTCCATTACACTGACTAGTTACTTAACCTTCCCTGTTAATGGACATTTTGTTCCAGTTTTCACTATTTCATTTTGAAAAAGTCAGTTTGACGAGAGCCTTGTGGTATACAGGCCTACAACCCTGGCTACTCGGGAGGCTGAGGTAAGAGGATCCAAAGCTCAAGGCCTGTCAGGATACTGGGGGCTCTGTAGTCAGCATGACCAGTGTGCACAGGCCCAAGACTAACTCCCCAGAGTTATCTTTCCCTCTCTCACACACACAAATTAAACCGAGTAGGCTGAAAACACGTTCCTCTCTCCCTTTTAAACTATCTATTGGCAGGGTCTTGCTATGTGGCCTGGGCTGGAAGCGCAGTTCTCTAGCCTCAGTTTACCCTCTGCTGGGATTACAGGCATATGCCACCACAGCAGACAAAACTTATCTGCAGTAAGGCACTTTTAGACATGCAGATGAAATTTCCTATGTATCACATAATTGCAGTCAGCAATTTCACTGCCCAAAGTAACCCTCAAGTATACCCCACACAAACACACAAAACCCCCTGCCGCCCTCTCACCCTGCTTCTACTCTTGCAGATGCTACATGGAAGCACACAGTAGGTAGCCACACCAAATGTAGCAGAAATCTAGCCAATTAATTGCGTGTATCAGGAGTCCTTTATCTTCACTATGGGAAGAAACCCACTGCATGACTATACCATGGTCTCATCTACTGTCGGGGCACATCTGAGTGGTTTCCAGGTTTGGTGATTCAAACTAAAGCTACTTGTGCATCTTCATCTCCTAGTAGCAGGACTGTGGGGTTGCATGTTTAACTCTGCAAGAAGCTTTTTTCTAGAGCTGCATCATTCTACAGGTCCATGGACAGTGTCTGTGAGTTCTTGCAACTCCCTTCGTTCACTAGCCCTGACACCGCTGGGTTTCTACAGAGAGGCTTTACCTACCCAACAGGCATGCAGCATACTTTTGTGGTCTTAATTTTGTTTCTTTACTTTGTTGGACAGCTTTTCATGTGCTATACAGATCCAACCCTTCAAGAAATGTCTGTTTACATTTACTGCCCATTTTAAACCATGTAGCCTGCTTTGTTACTGGTTCTCAGAGATAGTTTTATAGTTTTGATGCCATTTTTTTTTTGTTTTTTTGTATGATGAGTACACTGATAAAACACATAACTGTAAAAGTCTCCCTTTAGCATCATGGTGGAAAGAGCAGTATTTACTTTTGAAGTTCCTGCCACAGCGCTCTCTCTTTGGAGACATCCAACAGCCGCCTTTGAACACCCAGCTGAGTGAGTGCTGATTAATGAATGTCACAGTGGTGTCCTGGGGATGGCATCACTGGTGGGCTACAAGGATGTCAAGGTGGACAGCAGACTGTCCTAAAGGGCCTGTATGGTGACCTGCTGCTGTTCTGTCTTATGTGTCCTCTTGGAACCCACCTCTCCTCTTTCCATCCAGTTGACAAATGCTCCTTTGGAGTGTACCTGGCAGGACTGGAAGGAAGGGCTCTGCTCACCCTTCCTGTGTTTGCTGGGATCCCGACTGTGTTCCTTCCTCAGGGCTGTGCTGTCTCTGGGAAGCCCAGCTGCTCCAGAATATTCATGGGAAGTCAAGTCAGGCTTCTGAGAAGCTATCTCACTGACTGGATGAAAGGTAAAGAAGCTAACAGGCTGTCTGATACAAAATGACTGAAATGGTAACTAGAGGTATTGCCGACATCCACAAAAGCAAATGAGCAGAGAAGGCACCCTTGTGTTTCAGGGAAGTAGCACAGAGCAAAAACGACAAGTTCTGTGGGAAGGTATATACTGTACAGTTTACCCAACACACTAAGTTCTGCAGTTACCACGCCGTTACCGTGGGCTTCTGGACACTGGGCTTCTAGTCACTCAGAGATGGAGGGGTAGAAGTTGCAGTGGATGTGAATACATGTAGGAAACTGTTGAAGGACAAATAAAGGATTTTTAAAAAGCAGAGACAAAGGGCAGGGCACATTTGACTCCTGCATCAGAACAAGGCAGGTAGGACAGTCGAGGGTGGGCAGGCACTAAGATTACCTTCCTTAGCAGGCTTGTCTTACAGTGGGAGGACAAAGACAACACTTTTCTGAGGTTGTAGCACTCAACCTCAGCATTCTGGAGATATGCCACTAAAAACAAACAATGTTGTAAGTTCCTTCTCTCTTTCCTTTTTTTTTTGGTTTTTCAAGACAGGGCTTCTCTGTATAGTATTGGCTGTCCTGGGACTCAGGATCCACCTGCCTCTGCCTCCTGAGTGCTGGGATTAAAGGCTTGTGCCACCACCTCTGACTAAGTTCCATTTGTTAATGAGAAATTATTTCTTTGCTTTAATCATGTAACACTTTCTTACATTACCGGTATTTGTATGGCTTGGCTGCAGGCATCCAGAGGCAGGGGATAAAATGCACATGTGTTCCAAGTGACTTTTCCTGTGCTTACTTTGTTGGAGTATCATCTTTTGCTTTGTAGGTGTGATTTTGGACTGCTTACATGGCATTTTGTCTAGAAGAAACTCACGGTGAGCACGGACCGCTTCCATCCACAATCAATTAAAGAAGATGAGAAAAGGGCATTTGATGCTCTGGGAAACAGTGCCAGCCTCAGTTATAACACCCTCTGGTCCCGACTCAGTTGGCAATGGAATCTGAGAGCCAAGGGTCAGGCCTTGCCTGCAGAGTGGGAAGTGAGATTCTCAGGTCGAAGCCAGTCTCCGAGAAACTTATATCTGGTTAGAGGAGATTTATCCTGAGACTAGAAAGATATTTAATTTTCATTCATGTGTCTGTGTGATGTATGTGTGGATATCTGGGGAGACCTGAAGAGGGCACAGATCCCTTGGAGCTGGAGTCACAGGCAGCTGTGAGCCACTCTGAGTGCTGGGAACCAAACTCATGTCCTCTGCGGGAGCAGTGTGCGCCCATAACCTGGGCCCACCCTCCGACCCAGATTTTCCTATTTTAAAACTAAACAAAAGGCACATTAATTAACATCTACAGTTCTGTTTCCCTTACCAATATCATAAGGGTAAAATAAGTCAGTGATAAAAGTTGCCATTTAGTAGAAAGCAAACAGGTCCCTTTATTACTGTACGCTTGAAGGTGAACATACCTCTGTGGAGACAAATTCCCTCTTCAGTTTCAGAAAAAGGAACTTGGACTCTGTGTTCCTTTCATAGTTTCTGTAGTTGATAACCCTCCCTCCCACTTTCCCCTTCCCTTTGGACCTTACCTTAGTTCCTCAGAGATAGACAATTTTCATTTAGGAAATATCCTACTGATACTTGAAAAGTTAACCCTTAAAAGCAAAAGCAGTTTCAATTCCCACACCCCCACCTATACCATGAGAAGATTTTGTCTCGTGGGGGAGGGTCTTGCTGTGTATTCCAGGCTGGCCTCAACCTCACCTCTTCCTGCCTCAGCCTCCTAAGTGTTGGACACCTGCATGCGCTAGCACGCCCAGCTGAATGCTATGGCTTAACACAAGTTTAGTCTATAAATAACATCATTCTCTTCAAAAAAATACTTAAGAAACATTATGGAATCCAGCTTTAACAGTTTACTGAGAGAACTGCAGAACTGTTGTCTTTGTGCTGTCACAGCAGGTGGTCAGCCTGGTGTGAGCCGCAGGCTTATGGCTGCCTTTAAGTGTCCCAGCACATGCTTCTCAGTCACTCTTCTCTTCAGCTTGGTAATGCCTGTATTCCGGCTTCAGCTCCCACGTATTCTTGTGAATCCCTTTTACATTCTGAATGCCGATTTCTTTCAAGATTTCTTTCAGGTAACCCTAAAAACCAAAAAAGTGCCACAGAGGAGATTATCAAGGCAGAAAATAACACTTAAAATCACTTAAAATGAAATATACTAAATACAAGCAACAAAAACTAAGTTTCTTAACCCCAAGTGGGGTTTTCTATGAAGAGGTTCAACAGCTCTATAATGCACACCCCAGTAAACACACAACCATGTGCGTCAAAGGATGACTTAGAGGAAAACATACTTTAAGTGGTGGCTGCTCAGTGTTCACTGAACTAACTATGGAGGGCAATCTGCTCTTGACTCCAGTGGCTTAATGGACTCAGTCCACAGACTGCAACCAGCAGTTTTGGAGCATACACACAATGACACACACTGTAGGGATGGGAGGTGATAGCCAAGAAGCAAGCACATGGCAAAGCATCTAGAATTCCCACTTCTAGAATGGGTTTTCTTCTTTTAAAAACAGGATTTCATCATGCAGTCTTGGCTGGTCTGGACCCACCAAGCCAGACAGGTCTCAACTCCCAGAATTCCATGAGCCTCTGAATCCTGAGAACTGAGAGCCATACCCATCCAACCTATGATGGCTCTTCAAACTCTGAGTTTCAGAACACCTCCTTCCCATAAAATAAGGAACGGATCCTGTTGCTGGGCTTTGGTGGCACATGCCTTTAATCCTAGCACTCAGGAGGCAGGGGCAGGTGGATCTCTGTGAGTTTGAGGCTAGCCTGGGCTATAGAGTGAGTGCCAGGATAGGCTCCAAAGCAATACAGAGAAACCCTGTCTCAAAAAACAAATAAACAAACAAAAAGAAGAAGGAACGGTATTACCTTTGTGTTGCCCGAGCCTGCCAAAGCAGGGAGAGGATTAAGAACTAATAATGAGACATGCTGAAACTACGAGGGCCCAGGCTTCTTGTGCTCAGCTTACAGTATTTACGTCTCCGAGAACCTGCTTACCAAATGACTACTGGAGTCATGGAAATTATGGCTATGCTAAGTGTACTACAAAACTCTGCTTGTTTGCTAAAGCCCACTGAAGCACCCACTATGAACAGACCAATACAAATTATAGTAGCTCCTAAGAAGAGAAAGAAGCTAATTATTCACAAGTAATGTGTTCTGCTACAGAAAAGCCAATCAACCTAATTTGACTATATGCTTCAAAGAACCAGTCATAATATTAAGATGGCTTCCCTCATTGCAGGAGGAGAGATAATTCACTGAGGAGAGGCACTAATGGCTGAGGAGCTCCTGCCAAGATGATATTTGCACTATGTGCAATACTACCCAAATCACATTGTGCATGGAGCTTTACCAAGTCCCTGTGTATGTGTGTGTGTGTCCAGCTAGCTTCAAATTCCCAGAAATCTACCTGATTCTGCTTTCAGAGTAAAGCTGTATGCTACTATGCCCCTCCCCTTACAAACAGGGTCTGACTTATATAGCCTTGGCTGGCCTGCAACTCCATGCGTGCTGACCCTATACTAGTAGAGATCTGCCTGTCTCAGTCTTCAGAGTGCCACCGCATCCAGACTTGTCCTTGTTTTTTGAGACAAGGTTTCATTAAGCTTTCCAGGCTGGGCCCCCTGTTTCCCCGAGAGTGCTGGTATCAGGGGCATGCTCCACTATGCTAGGCAAGAGGAAGCCTGTCTTTGCCAAGTCTCTAACTGATTCATCCAACTACTCTGAAGTTCTACCAGATCTGCTTTAAGGCTGTTGCAGTTCTGACACTCCAGGAGCACTGAGCCCTTGATATCTTTTGTTCTCTGAACCAGTGCAGGTTACCAGAAAGTCACTGATTTGGAAGAATGCAGCACAACCCATTCAGCCATTAGGGTTAGGCTGCCATTTAGAAATTTAACAGCTGAAAACTAGGGCTCATGTGAAGGTTCCTGGAAGGCTTAGTATCTCAGTCTCCTGGACAGCCTTCCTATCCCAGCAAACAGGCCCCAGCAGGTGGCAGCAATGAACCAAATGAGTCCTGGGTTTCCCAGGCGGCTTACCCGCCCCCACACCTTCTATAGTTGGCTTTGCTAAAGGAATGCATGTGAATGAGTAAGCATAAAGGCTTGGGTACGCAGGTAATGTGCACGTCTGCCATCTGCTATTACAAATTACACTTGAAAAATGGGACACTGTTCATAAACTACTTTCTAATTAAACTGGATTCATTAAGGCAAAATGATGGGTTAGGCACAAATGATCTCAGTTTAGATGCCAAGAATGACATCTTTGTAGAATTCCAAAGAATGGTTTATTGTGAGGCTGCTAAGATGCTGTTGCACAAACAATCACACAGTTGTGGATGGGCCACAGTGGGTCCACACACAAACACTCACACAGCTGTGGGAGCGCTGCAGTGGATCCACACAAACAGCAACCATCAGGAGTGTTTCAGCAGCCCAGAGAAAAGCAGAGCTCTTGACTTCAAGTTGTATGCCTATCTACAACCTAGGCCAAGAAAATGGAAAGCCAGAACAGTGTTCGACATGAAACAGTAAGAATGTCTTCACAGGGCTGGAGAGATGGCGCAGCTGTGAGAGGCTAGGCTTACAACCACAAAGACAAAGTCCTCACTCTACAAACTGGCTGTCTCTCATGCAGCCCCTCTCCCCCATTTGGTAATGCAGTACATGAACAGATGGCAACAATAAGGGGATGAGATGAGCACTGCCTACTGACACAGGCAAGTAATACAACAATCAGAACCACACTATTTAACTAGACTACAATTCTGTAGGGTGGTGGTTTCAAATTTCCTTCATCTTCAAATGGATGCTTCAAATCACTAGACATTTTACTCCAACAAAACGGCTTGACATGGGAGTAGGCACAATGCTTGTCAAGGAAGTAGTAGTGACAGGGAAAAATATGTTCAGAAAAATCCCTAAAGGGAGGAAGATGTGGATAGAGATTCTAGTTAGTTATTACTGCTGTGATGAAACACCATGACCAAAGCAACTCGGGGAAGAAAGGGTTTAATTAGCCTACACTTCCACATCTTAGTCCATCACTGAAGGAAGGAAGGGAAATCAAAAGGGGCAGGAACCTGGAGGCATGAGCTGACGCAGAGGCCATGGAGGTAGATACTGCTTACTGGCTTGCTCCCCATGGCTTGCTTAGCCTGCTTCCTTACAGAGCCCAGGACCACCAGCCCAGGGATGGCACCACCCACAAAGGGCTGGGTCTTCCCACATCTGCCGTGGAACAATCTTTGTACAGTGTAAATATGTACTGCTCTCATTGTTAATAAAAAGCTGATTGGCCGGTGGCTAGGCAGGATTTCTGGGGCAGAGAGAATGCTGGGACAAAGAAGGACAGAGTCAGAGGAGACACCAGCCCAAGAGAGGAAGGAGGACGTATATAGAAAATGAGGTAACGAGACTTGAGTCACGTGGTAGAACTTTGACTCCAGCTTGTGTCAAGTTGATATAAAACTAGCTGGCACAACAAACTGAGGTATTTCAAAGATGTCTCCTGACCTGCAAGTATCATCTCAATTCCTCTGGCTTGCATTCCCTCTCACTTGCCATTCTCTGGTGTGTTCTCCATGCTAGGTGACTCCTGTAATTACTTCCTGTAATGCGTCCCCTGTCCCTCATACCTCACCTTTTAACCCTTTACATTTAGGCTTCAATGTCACTTCTGCAGAGCAATTGTCTTCAGCAGTCGTCTCAATTCATAGACCTACATTCCACACTGCCCATCCTTCCACAACAGTGCCCCCCCCCACCCCCCCACTTAAAAATCTCTGTAATAACAGTTTTAGCTCTCTCTGTGCTCAGAGTAACTTCAGGGCCTTATTTCTTACACGTCTGTCTCACCTTAAACCATGTGCCCCTGCCAGGCCTCCTGTCCATCATGGACTGTGAGTGCATTACCCCAGTGGGGAGGGTGCTTGAGCAGTGGATTAGGCAGCTGAGAGACCGGGGAGCTGCAAAGATGGCCTGTAGAAAGGAGCTCCATGAACTCAAATTCCTTTTACTTCTACAATTTCTGGACTCTTATGAACTGCACTACCTGAATTTCAATGTGACATTCATTATGAAAAGCTGTGTTGTAGCTGTATGCCTGAAAGCATACTGGGCCACATAAATAATGCTGGAAAAAAAGTCAGTTGAGAGAGGAAATGTTAAAAGCTGTATGTGGGCTGGGCAGTGGTGATACAACACCTTTAACCCCAGCATTCGGGATGCAGAGGAAGATGGATCTCTGTGAGTTTGAAGTCTATAGAGCAAGTTTCAGGACAGCCAGGACTACACACAGAGAAACCCTGTCTCAAAAAACAGAGAGTTTTATGTGGACTGAAAACTGTTAATCTATCTCACTTCCTTCCTTATCCCTCCCAGTATTTACTCCAGCACGGAATACAAGCTCCTGAAGTAGGGCATTCATTAGTCTCCCTTGCAGAAAGGATCGGGTGGAGACGTGGCATACACAGGCAAGCACAGTGGGAGAGAGGGCTGCTGCCCACACCCACGGAGGTGTTAAGTCCTTTGGGAATGGGTACTGGCTCATTTCCACTGACAGTAATTCTGTGCAGAAAGAAGCACACAGGTAAAAACTGAGTGACTTTCCATCTTACTCGGAAAGAACGCCAGAAACGGGTAGAGTTTCGATCACGTGGGTCTGGGATGTTTCTCATTAGAGTGGGCCACGATGGATGCAGCACATCATTCAGACACCGGCTCAGCCCCGGAGCTTCATCAAAAGGATGTGTGGGAGGAACCGACAGCAAGGGAAGCAGAACAAAGGGGGACCAAGTGCCACAGCTTCTGTGAAGGAGGCAGCGAAGCACACCTGACCACAGGGGCCAGAGGCTCAGGGCAGGCTTTGGATTTGTGGCTCAGGAGAAAACTGGTGACTAACAAGTCAGAATTGGCCAATGGATTCCTGACTCTCCCCAAGCCTAGGATGAGGTGCAAGCAACCCCTGGTTTCCTCTCTGCTTCCAGCCACCCCACCCCACCCACCCCAATTCCTTCCTTCTCCAACTGCGGAGGACTGATCTGCATTTCATTTTATCA